ATTCTTATTTATTCTTAGATTTGCTGGTGAACCAGTCAATTTACGTGATCAACAAGATGCTATTGAATTTTTAAATACAGTTGTTGATAGTCTTGATGAAGCATTAAAAACATTAAATTTACCACAAATATGTTCAAAAGTTTTAGGTGGAAAATTTGCTGATCAAAAAATTTGTAAAGATTGTCCACATCGGTATGTGCTTTGTTTTTTTTTCGTTTAATAGAAACTCTACAGAGTTTGTTTTTCTTTTATTTAAAGATATTCACGTGAAGAAGATTTTACATTAATAAGTGTTGATATTCGTCATAGTCAAAATTTAAAAGAATCTCTTGAACAATATGTTATTGGAGAATTACTTGATGGACCTAATGCATATCATTGTGAAAAATGTAATAAAAAGGTATAATAAGAAGAAAAGTATTTGTGTTCTGTTTTTTTTTTGAATTTAGTTTTTTTTTGATAGGTTGATACAATAAAACGAACATGTTTTAAAAAATTACCAACTGTTCTTGCTATTCAACTTAAACGATTTGATTATGATTGGGAACGTGAAACTCCAATTAAATTTAATGATTATTTTGAATTTCCAAGAGAGTTAGATATGGAACCATATACAGTTCAAGGTCTTGCTAAAGCTGAAGGTAAATTTTTTGTTGTTAAATTTAAAATAGAAGACTAAAATCTAAAAGTAATTCAATAAATTTTGTCATATGCTTATAAATTTTCTTCATATAATCTAAAACACTTTAGAGAATCTTCTCTAAAAGATTGTTTTTTTCTGTTCTATAATCAGGTATTTCTGTGATTGATGAAAATACAAGTGATGATCAAACTTCGACAAATTCTAATAGTAATGATGGTACTTGTTATAAACTTGTTGGTATTATTGTACATATGGGTCAAGCTAATGGGGGTCATTATTATTCATTTATACAACACAAGTAAATTTCATTGAATGATATTTATTAATAAATATATTTATATATATATAGAAATGAATCAAATTCTTCTCATTGGTATAAATTTGATGATATAGATGTATCAGAATGTAAAATGGATGATGATGAAGAACTTCGATCACAATGTTTTGGTGGTGATAATCCAACATCATCATTTGATCAACCACCTATGAAAAGGTTTGTTTGTTTGTTTTTTTTTGAAGTTAATTCTACATATATATGAACAATTTTTTATTTTCTGATAGACAACGACGTTGGTGGAATGGATATATTTTATTTTATGAAAAATTATCAATTGATTCTTCAAATTCCGAAGATAATCTTGAAAAAGATTTTGCACAATTACAATTATGTATATCAAAATATAAATCTAATGATATATATTAGTTTTGTTTTTGTTTTTTTAAAGATGATCAAACACAACGTATGCCATTATCCGTACAACGTAGTGTTCGAAAACAAAATATAAAATTTCTTCATAATCGAATACTTTTCAGTCCTGAATTTTTTATATTTATAAAAAAACTTCTACAAAATAATATACATTATTTAGTTAATTTTATTCCACAATTACAACATGAAGATAAAAATTCTTTAACAAATGTAAATTTTATGTTAATTTTGAAAAAACAAAATCTTTCTAAAATTTATCATTTCTAGACACATGAAGAATTAGCTTTGATTAGTATTCAAATAGCAATAAAATTTATTTTTTCAATTGGATGGCATTCAAAAAAAGCACTTCGGTTTGTATTCATAGACAAATACATAGAAAAAACAAAAAAAAAAATATTTCCGAATGATCAATACCTTTATTATTCTATAAATATTTTTCTTTTTTTTTTAGTGGTCAAATAAATGAATGGATTGATCCAATATCTCATTGTTTACGTTTATCACGTAAAGCTCGATATTATTTAGCTGATGAACTTTTAATTAAACATCCAAATCGTTTTCACGAATATTTAATTGATTGTACATCAGCTGAAGTAAGAAAAAATGAAATTCGTCTACAAAAATATCTTAAAAAAAAAATCAAATAGGTTCGTAGTGGATTTAGTCGAATACTTGTAGTTCTTGCACGAGCTTCTCGACAAGATGATGAAAATTCTAATCAATCATCAGGTATTTATTTTATTTATTTAAAAAACAAAAAAAAGAAATTTATACTTCAATTTTTTTTTTGTTTCTACTATAGATCAAATACTTATTGAAGATACTATTATAACTAATGTTGTACGTTTACTTAAAAAAGAAATGTTTGATAATATTAAAACATTAACACAATATTTTCAATTTTTTATTCTGTATCTATCAAATGGTCGTTATGAAGTAAGGTTTTTTTTTTTAAATTAATAATAAAACAAACAATTTTTTTTTGTTTTTTGTTAATTTTGAAATTTCAAGTGTGAAAAATTAATTCATTTAAATGTTCCAATAATATTTGCTACAATGGCATATGATGATACAATAATATCATCAATACCACGTTTTGGTGAACCATCAAAAGTTTCAATTATACTTTCAACATTAATTCGTTGTTTTGATGTTTCAATGTTATGTAAAACAAGACAAGTAATAAAAAAAACTCCTTTTCAATAAAAAGAAAAAAAAACAATTTCTTTTTTTATTTAGTCAAATAATGAACTTTTACCAAATCCATATTATGCATTTGATAATAGTCCATTATGTTCTATTCCAGAAGATATGATTAACATTATTTATAAACAAGAAAATTTTTTAAAAAGAATTATTGAAGAAATTAGTTCATATGACGAACTATTTAATCTTCTTCGATTTCTTATTTGGGAAAATCCAGATATTACTTGGATTATACTTCATGACATCATCGGATCAGTAAGTCATTTATATACTTATAATTATTTTTGAAAGAAAAACGTTTAAAATTGTTCATATTTATGATCGTTTACTTATTTTCAAATGTCTTTTTGTTTTCAATTCGATAGTTTGATTAAATATCATGTCTAGGGGTCGATTAGTTCAGATCTGAGGAACTGTTCAAACAGTTCTCGTGAACTGTTAAAAAACCTTTGTTCTGCTTTCGGAGATGGTATTCCCAAAAACAGAACAAAGCTTTTTTTAAGAGTTCCTCAGAGCTGAACTTGTCGACCCCTAATCATGTCTATTAATAATTTTAGCTTTCAAAAGTTTATGCAAATGACTTACGTTCTCTACTTCATATAATATATGTGGTGCTTACAATTGAAGATTCTTGGCAAGAAGTTCGAATCTTATATACATTAAAAGGCATTCCAATATCAAATGAAATACAAATAATGAATGAAAATTCACCAACACCATTATCATCACCACCAACAACATTAAATAATAATCCTCTTAATAATAATAATAATAATGTTTCTTTAAATCTATTTGATATATTTTTAAAATTGAAATCATCTCATGAAAAACGAGCTTATCAATTTCTTAAAATGCTTTGTCAATTATTTACAACGTAAATTGAATTAATGGTTCTTTTTTTTTGTTTTATAAATTCTATATTACAATTTTAGTTGTACGAAAGCAAATAATTTATTACAAACAGATCAAGATATAAAACATCATTGGATACAAGCTGTTCATTGGTTACGTAATCAACTTGAAGTAATTGAATTTTATTTTATAAATTTTGTTTTATTATTTATTTAACTTAGCGACCAAATCACATTCCAACAAATTATTCTTATTATCAATCTCAAGGACAAATAACCAATAATGATATATCCCAAGGATATTTTCTTGAACGAACACCAAGTGCTAGATCAGTATTAGAAAAAGCTTGTGATTTATGTTCGGATAAAGTAAAAAAAATTTAAGAAAAAACAAAAAAACAATTTTTTTTAAATTTCAATGATTAATTTAGGAAAATGATGATACTGGTTCAAATAGTGATGAAGGTGATGAAAATTAAATCTATAGACCATCGAATATTCACATAATTAATCATCAACAAAAATAAAACTTTATAACAAAGAAAAATTTTCTTTTTTTTTAATTTCCGAATTGTTCATCTAATCCTATTAACATACATAGACAAAGTCTGTATATGTCGAAAATCTTTGTAAAAACGAAAAAATAGAAACAACAATAACAAAATATTTTCTACATTTTATTTTATTTTTTCTTTTCTGTTCTTTTTTAAACTATATCAAAATGGATTCTATGTGTATATTTGTGTTTTGTCCTTGTAGAAAAAAAGAAAACAGGTTATTTTTTTAATTGCAGAGTATTTTGACGATCATAATAATAATAATGATGATGTTTGACCTGTGCAACTCAGCTGTAGCTATTTTTCTTTCTCTGTGTGTGTTTATTCTCTTATTATCACGGCTGTGTTTTTTATTTTTATTTTTTCTTTCGTTTTCGTTCTTTCTTTTTTTCTTTTTTTTAATTCAGAAATTGAAAGCGCATGAGAGCAAGAAAACTAAATAAAGTGAATCTATTTTCAAAAAATTATTTAATAAATTAATCAAGAATATCAAATCAATGATACAATTATTGGAATCGTTCGTAGGACAGAGCTGAGAAGAGTTGATCATTTTATTTGAATCTACGGCAAAGACTTCTAACTAATAGCTTATTATTGTTAGTATCCACCATAGTGATAATCAACATGCTTTGGTCAATACGAAAATACATGTTCATATTTTTGATAGTTCATATAGGACATCTCATCATCTGTAAAGGAATTTTTTATAAAAAAAACGATTCTGTTAGAAAAATAATATTGATTATGTAAATGGCACGGATGGGTTACCGGATACCAGATTCAATTATAGGACACTAATTATTGTTGAAGTATCGCGTTTTGACGCTTTTTTTATAGCATAATATTGCGTTCTCCTCCTTTAAGAGCATTAAAAAAACTGAGTCTCGAACTTCGACTTGAAACTTTGCATAGAGACACCTCTTAAGAGATATGATGAGTGTCATTCTCAGCATGTTTATTTTTAGTATTATTCATACAGATCAATAAAAAGACATGTGTATACAGGTTTATACAAGTCTATCTATATAAAGTTATTTGATTGTTGATAATATTTTAATTCGTTCTGTTTTATTATGATAAACTGCAATTTGATTGATTCTAATTAATTTTTTATTCATAGGTTCTTTTGTTATGAGTAATTGACGGCGACGAAGTTTAGCACAAAAGATTGATTTAGATTGTTCATTTGTCAGTAAAATTGCTATTGATCCAATAGCAGAACTACATGCAATAGATAAAAATGATATTGAATATAATGGCCATGGAATTGGTACTATTCTATTGACAATTGTAGAGATTAAATAAGGTGTACCACCAATTCCAAGAATACTTGTAAAAATAAAAATATTTTTAAAAACTTTCATATTTCTCTTCAATCGCCGTGCACTTAGACTTCTTAGATTAATCTGATTATGTTGTTTAATATGACAAATAATAATGCCATAGAGAATTGTTATTGTAATCATTGGAAATAGAAAAATGATGATGGCACCTAGAAATGATATGAGAAAGTTTTTTCTTGTTAAAGTACATACACGAGATTCATCTTCATATTGATAAGCTACTGGTGAAATAAGCAAACTAACAGCAATAATACAACTTATTATCCAACTATTAATAATCATTATGCAATTCATACGAAAACTAAGAAGAATTCGATATTTATGAAGAATTGTAATGAAAAAACGAGAAATTGCCTGAACCATAGAAGAATACGATATAATTGTAGCACCAAATGTTCCTAAACAAGCAATAATCTTACAAGTAAATGTATTCTTATTCTCTAAGCTAAGAGAAGTATTTTGAATGAATGCTGGTAATTGTATACAAAAGGTAATCGCATAAACAAGAAGACTAATACAAGAATTACATGATAAAAGATTAATAATAGACCAACATTGAGAATGACGATAATATACAATGATAATAATTGTCAATAATGAAAATATAATAGTTATTAGATAAAAAAACGCGAAAAGAGCACTCATAACTATTAAAAAAGTTTGATCCATTAGTATTTTCTTGTGCTTCTGTGAATCTAAAATATGAAAATTGAAAATAAATGAGAATATTCACTAGACCATTTCATGAAAATATGCTAGTGAAGAAAGAGGAAATTGTTTAATAATACCAATCTAAGAACGACCGGATTCATTATGTGAACCGTAAAGAAATAAAGCGTGCCTTTTTTTTTATTACTTATGGCGAAAAAACTAATTTTGATCTACGACCATTTGCTTAGATGGTGAGCATAAATATCATCGATGAGAAATTATCAGATAATTTTCATTGTCTGAAAATGGATTCATTCGAAAATATTTACAAATCTTTCAATTGTTAGCGAAAAATGAAAAATCTACTGAGGCTTTCTATTATCACAGCAATTTTTTCTTTTATCGATAATAGGCTTGTTAAATTTGAACTTCAAACACTAGAAGTTCTTTTTCTAACAATCAGAAGTTTAACAAAAGGTGTCAACTGAAAAAAAGGCAAAACTTTTTCATTCAAATGAGAAAATTACTTTGAGATCTTTTCATGAAGAACATCTCAATTTCCTTGCACTTTAGATGAACGTATTTGTATAGTCTAAAAGAAGAGATCTATATGATAAAATCCTAACTTTATTATTTATCAAGTCTAGTTTTCTACCTTTTTGGATTGATATTTGATGGTTACTCAAGTGGAATAATACGTCTCTCACTTCAAAAATATATTATATTTGGAATCAGTACAAAAAATCGAGCCAACTTCTATATCTTGCAAATATTTTCTACAACTATTTTTTCTGGTTACGTTTTCATACCTGATCTTTCTCAAGAATATTTGAAGAAATAAATTCATTTCAAAAGTCATTGTGCTACTGAAAAGCAAGTTCTAAACTGGCAAAATGTTATTTGAAGAGAAAGAAGAATATGACTAAATAATAAAATAGTTGCTTTGATTAAATTCATTTTCTCACATATCCTTGAGAAAGATCAAGGGTGATAATTTGATTAGACAAAAAAATGCAGCAAATATTTAAAAAATATAGATAGTCGACTGAATTTTTTTGCACTAATTCCAAGTATGATATTTGTTTGAGTGGAAAATATATTATTCTGCTTGAAAAACGCAAAATATCCGTCGAAAGAATTAAAAACTGGGTCTTATGAATAGTTGACTTAGGAGTTTATATGATTCACTGTCTTTAGACTAGACAAATTAGTTCATTTTGTAATACTCGAAAAACAGAGTAATCAAACGATAAATAGAATGCCCATAGGCATTTCAAACTCACAATTTCTGCAATGGAAAATGTTTATACAGTCTAGTACATTTAAAACATTATTTTTAATAAATAGTTGTATTATGAAAATGTACTCTAAACAAAGAACTATTAGAATGACACCTATTTTCTATGTTGTGAAGATGATTGTATATATAATCCAATTATATTTCATCTTCAAAATCAATAGGAACGTAAATATGTTCTTATACGCCTCCGTCTTTTTTCTAAGTTACATAAGTAATGTTTATCGAGGCTCAGCTCACCTGACTCTGGACTGATGAACTAGAGATATGCAAGAGATGATCTGACATATTAAACCGATACGTTTCATAAAAACCATTTTGTTCGTAATATAAAACTTGAATATGAAATACTTCTCTCTAATCGAGTTCAGTTCATATGTGTAATGCAACCGATTTTTCTATATGAATTTTGTCAAATTCATCAATTGTTACACTGTTGTAAGTATATTCGTGTTTGTTTTTTTATATTGTTCTTAAAACATCATTTTTAATTTCAAATAGATTCATCGACAGATGTTCCTAACATAAACAAGAGAATAATGTAATTTGAACACATTCATCTCGAAGTGAATCGAGTGATATTTTTGTACTATCTATTGTTTTTCATTTAAATTTCATTGATAGTATTTCTTCAGGATCTAGCGCGTGAATATGATCTGTGGCTTTAATATTTTTTGCACCGTCCAAATACACACGATCCGCATAATTATTTCTACAAAAAAGTCAAATGATTTGATATTTATTGACACATTGGTTAAAAAAAATCATCAAATAGAAGTTGATTCTTGTTTTTGAACAATTTCCCAACGAACATTATATAATAATAATAATAATAGAATAAGATAGAATAGTCATAAAGATTAGATAAACAAAAGAAATATAATTCAAAAAAAAGTCATTCGTTTCGATAAAGATGGTTCACTTATAGCTATGGAGAAATATACTGAAGAGTCATCAATAAGATGAGAAGGTGTTGCATATTTTTGTGCACTACTTTTGAGTTTAACTAAATGATCGAATATTGATTGTGTGTATTTCATCATTGATTGATGATGGCCGAAATGTCAAGAGCTAATCTGTTGTGTCACCTTGTAAATGATAATTGAATACAGTGAATTGAAAAGTTCTCAGTATCATATATTGATATATATCGTATTATTGCAATTCTATAAATGATGCATGGTCATAAGTAGAAATAAATTGATTTCTGAGGTTGCATTCTCAAAGCTTCAATATTTGAAATAAAAATCGTGACTTTGAAAATGTTCCTATTATTCATTAATCACATTATGCTGTGTCTTCTCCATGTTTGGAATAAAACATATGTTATAACATACGTATGCTTATTAGGATAAAATACAAAACGCATACAACCTGTTTAGCATTACTTATATGTGTGCTATGTCTATTGCAAAAAGATAATGTCACATTACTCAAATAGAATATAACCAACAAAACCATACCTTTCATTTTAAGATCAGGAACGTAACCAGAAATTTTTCAAGAGGGGATGTCAATCGAAAGAAGAATTTTTAAAGACTTATTTGACTAAAGTCAGGAAGATGGAAGAATGAAATATATTAAAAAATATGGAAATCGACTCAATTTTTAGTTTTGATTTCTAATCTGATATATTTTTTTGTCAAATGAAACGGGTATTATTCTACTTAAAAATTGTCAAATATCAGTCGAAAAAGTAGAAAATTGCGTCCCATAAATAATTAAGTTAGGATTTTGTTATGTGACCGACTTTTTTAGACTATACAAATTAGTTCGTTTTATAGCATTTGGAAAAAAAAGTAGCATACATGAATTTCGATCTTGTCCCAAGTATGGCAGTTCATCAACATATATATCTTTCAGAGAGTCCATGCATTGACCACGAAACGAAGGCATTGGTGAAATTTTAGGTGTTTGGTCAAACCTGAATATACGAATTAGTGTAGAGAAAACACAAGTTGAATTCATTTTTGCGACCTAATAATTCTAATATACACGGTAAGACACATGTAGAAATAGAAAATTCAGTATTTCGAACATGGTGATAAATTTGATTTATTGAAATCCATCACCTCCTCTCCCTAGTCAAGAATCTCTAAACGAATCCCTGGGGAGTCCCTGGTGGAATCCCTGTCACGATTCCCCAGGGACTTCGAGGGGATTTTATAATGAGATTTCACTTGGGTTGGATATTATGATCAGAACGTTGTGTACGATCGTTTGCAATCATCGTAAGTCTCATGGTATATTCCTGAAGAGTCCCTAGCAAATCCACAGAAACTTCCACGTCAATTCCTGGAGATTTCTTGACTCCCTCCTAAATTCATAGGAAACCCCTGTCGGGATTCCCCGGGGATTCTCGACTAGAGCTATCATGTTGATTCTTCTATTGTTGATGAATAATACAGATCAAGTATCGCAGGTCAATTACAACTTTGCTTTGCTACTGCGTTGAATGATGTTAATGGCACAAATCGCCAATACTAGAACTATAAGTATCTTTATTGTTTTTTAAAAAAAGCAATACAAGCTGAAATTGACGAGCTTTGCAGTTAAATAAAACTTGTTCTTTTTATATACAGTCAAAGATTTTCATATTTATTCGCTTCTTTAGCTCTGACAATGAACGAAGTAGCGGCTACCAACTTTAAATTGTTGTTCTTCTCAAATTGTCGTAACTGAAATTGTTTGCGTTTTCTCGAATCACTCACACCAATTGATCCGCCGTCAAGAGCTATTTGACCTGAGGCTGATTTGTACAATAGGATAATGTACTGATGTGGACCAGTGCCATCCGGTGGTGTTGGACCTTGATAATCAGCTATCATATAAAACAACCAAAAAAACAATATCAGTCAAGTAGTTACACATTAAAGAAAACGAGCAGAAAGAATATCTACCAAGAGTTGTGCCACTATCAACATTGTCTCCTTTGAACGAAGCTTTAATCCAATGTAACCATGGACCAGCTATTTCATTGCCTCGCCGAGGCGCATCAGGATCGACCATAAGCTAGAAAATAGAAATATGATATCATGGAAAATAAGAAAAATAAACTAAATTACTAGTGTAAAAAATGGCATTTGTGGATCAGTTTTCAAGTTGATTTGAACAGTGGGAGCTATTTGAGTGTCAGATTTTTTCAGCAAACCTTCGTCACGAGCCCGATTGCCCTGATATTGAATAATAATTTTATTGGCATTGTTTTTTCCAGCTTTATACTGTTTTCGTAGGTATTTCACGTCCGAACTGATATCGGCTATTGCACTTGAAATAATGACAGCAATTAAAATTAATACAAATGTGTAACAATAAGAATTAGACGTCATGAGAGGTTTTTGGAAGAAGAAAAATAAGAGCGATGATCCGAATCATTCCTTCCTATTAAAGTTACTCTATAATTCGGTTATATAACGAACGAATGAACAGAATGAAGAGAAAAAAGAACAATAGAGACGCTAGATGGAGCAGCACTATGACTTAACTCTGCTCCAGTTGACAGCAAAATATAATCGAAATACGATGAATCAACAACCCAGGTGATTCAATCCGACCTGTAGATCCTACCGGAAACTATCGGATCCGATGTCGGATCACACCGGAATTCGTCGGGTTCCCAACTAAATCCGATCGGAACCCAACCGTATTTGACAGGATTCCTAACTAACGGATTCCGGACCGGATTACGTCGGAAAGGATCCGATTGGATCCTGTCTGAACTGTTTGTCAGATAATGCCGTAACCACCAGGATCCTTTCACAGAGAAACGCCTGATAACGTAAGGCTCCGACAGAATACAGTCGGATTTCATCAGAAGTTGGCTGAATCTGTTTCGATTGCACAAGGATTCAATCAACATTTCACACAGATTTCATTCTAGCATTCTCAAAATTTCCAAAGATTTACTAGAGATTTCTGACAATTTCATCCAATTTTCCTCAAGATTTCTCAAGGATTTCATCGAGACTTCTAAAGATTTCCCCAGCATTTCACCGAGATTTCTGAAGATTTCCCAAGCATTTCATCAAGATTTATCAAGGATTTCGTCGAGATTTATGAAGATTTCACAAAGATTTCATCGAGATTTCGCAAAGATTTCATCGAGATTTCGCAAAGATTTCATCAAGATTTATGAAGATTTCCCAAGGATTTCATCAAGATTTCTAAATGCTTGTCCAGGATTTCATCCAGATTTCTGAAGATTTCCTAAGGATTCTCAAGATTTATAAAAATTTCTCAAGGATTTTGTCGAGATTTCTGAAGATTTCACGAAGATTTCCAAAGGATTTCATCAAGAATTCTAAAGATTTTCCAAAGATTGAATCGACATTTTGAACAGATTTCACCAGGATGTTATCAAAATTTCTAAAGATTGCATCAGGATGTCATCAAGAGTCTAAAGAATTTCAACTGTTTCAACTGGGATTATTCCTAGAATCTAACAATGTATATACTACGATCCTTCTTAAAATTGAACAATGCTTGTACTAAGATTGTTCCTAATATATAGAACTTAGTTATACAAAATGGCAGAATTCACTTGATATATGAAAGTAGAGAGTTCCTTATATAGATCGATACCTGTAAAACAAAACGGTGAATGAAATCTGGACAAAATCGGATTTCCAGATTTTTGATTTTGTTGTTGGAATTTTCCAAAAATAGGAATATCTAATAAATTAATTAATTAGTTGATTGATCTGTCAGAATATATACTAATTCATGAATCCTATTGCGTGGAAAACATAATTATATAAGGAAATAAAACATTTGAAGTAAAATTAATCTCAGCAACACTTTGGAAATTTATTCAAAATATTAAAGTAGAGACTTCCTTATATAGATCGATATCTGTAAAACAAAACGGTGAATGAAATCTGGACGAAATCGGATTTCCAGATTTTTGATTTTGCTTGTCGAAATTTGTAAAAAGAGAAATATCTAATTAATTCATTAGCTCATTCATCCGTCAGAATATATTCT